GGGCCTCCCCTTGGGTACGGCCTTGAAATAACATACATATTCTATTGTATAAAAGTTCATTTCTTCAGTGTTCTTAATATTTACTGCATTTATTGTCTTTTATAAGTTTTTTTCTCTGTATTTAACGTACATTTTTTTCTAATGTAAAAGTTCTAAGTACCAAAGTTCATCTTTCTCGGATTTACCTTATTACGTGTTAATTTAAAAAAGCGTTTTTCTTTTACTTTAAGAGCGCGATAAGAAAATTGCTCAATAAAAATAAAAAAAAAAATCTGTCGAGAAAAATATTTAAAAAAACATTAAAAATTACCGAACGTTTCAATTGTCTGAATATTTTTTTCATGTCGTTTTTTAAATTTAAATAATTATCTTATTAAAGAATTGATAATTTTAATAAAGTTCTTGGAAAGCAGTTTAAGTCTAAAATTTTACCGTTAATTTCCTTCAGAGACATTTTTTTTGTATAGCCTATGAGGGCAAAAATGGTAAAAAACTGAAATTCCTTGATTATAACATATAATTATTTTATTTTGTACGGCGAGTTTGCACTTTCACAAGGYTAAAAGCCGCCATGCATGTGGGAGGAGTGATCAGCAAAGAAGTGGGGAAAGTTATTCTAACACGAGATAGGCTGTTACCAACAGGTAATAAACAGCCAGGTTACCTGCTTTATAGCAACCATGTTTGTTACATTTAGCTGTTTATGCTAACGGATATTTATACTTTACTTATTTTATTATTATTTATACACATTTATCCTAAAATTTGCTAAAAAATAAAATGTCTAAAATTAAAGCCCTAAAAAATAAATTAATAAAATGTTTTTTAAAGTTAGGCTTCACAAACCTTCAAATTCTCTAGCCAGTAAGCTAGTTTTTTTACTCCTTGTTACTATTCTCGCTACCACATGCGTGGTTCTGTGGTAAACAGTCGTAACTAATAAAATATGCTTTTTGTACCTACCATAACAAATATTTTTATTTTTTATACATAATTTTCTCTACGCTCGTATGATTTGTCTGCGTGTGTGCATCATATTATCTGGATTTAAAGGATACACCCATATGTCAGAATGCTCCGCCTCTTTTTCCAACGCCCACTATGTTTTATGGACAGATTTATATCCGTTTTATGGAAGCTGTGCTACGACTAATTACCGATTACGCCAAGCATGACTTTCTTTAGACAGTTGACTTCATTTATAACCCGGGTTTATGATTCCGACTTTTTCTTTGTAATGGGCGATTTTGCATCAACCAATCGTGATTTTACAGAGGAATTCCAGCGAAATTATGACTCATTAAAATAATATTCAATCTAATGTTTCATTGGACAGATCAAAATTTCATTATAATGAGAACACACAAAAAAATAATCAATGTAAAATTACAAAAATCGAAGAACAAGTCGGAGAAAAATTTGCTTAAAATTGTGATTTTTATTTTAAGTCAAATAGAAATGTTCACTTTAATAAGACAAAAGCAAAAAACGTCATAATCAAAAATTCAAACAAGCAAAAATTGAGTCAATTCTCCACAGCTTTCAACAATTCGCCGTATGTTCCTTAAAAAGTGATTAACACCGTCTGGAAATGTACTAAAATAATTTATGCTTTGCAAGTAACTCGCTGATAAATCTTTTGATTGGACGAAAAGTGCTAAAATGATCAAGCAATTTGATTATAGCTTAAAGTTTAATATGTTTATAATAAATCAGCGTTAAAAGTCGGTAAACACAGTCAAGTTCAAGTTAAATATGTGATTAAAAACGTATTAACACTACCTACAAGGTACCTACGTAAAATGGCGGAAAAGAAAATCACAAAATTATTAGGGTAAGTCTGGGAGAGA